TTCGCCTTTATCTTAATTTTATTTATAAGCGATAATTTTTTTCCTAGAAAAAGCATGTTGATTTTGTCGTTTACATTTTCATTTTAATGATTAAACTTATGTTCCTTCCAAGAAATTATGCTGATGCCGTCAATTAGTGATGAGAGAAACAAATATATATATATATTTATTTATCCGACTTTCACGATTTAGAACTGTGAATAACACCATTCTGAAAATTGTTGATAAAAAGACAGGTATATACAATGACCAAAATTAATTGCATAATTTCTTAAACGTAAGTGATAGAATCAGAGTTTGAAATATGTATAAATATGAAATATGTATAGTTTTAAAAATATAAATGTAAGAGATTAAATATTGAAAGCTTTAATTTAAAAAAAAATCGAAATTTTAAAGTAAATAGATAATAAAATAATATAAAATAAAATTTTATAATAATTCTATGAACATGATACCGTAAAATTCTTACCAGTAACATTATTATGAACGGAATGTATGTTGACATCAACATCCTTAAAGTTGGTAATTGAAATAAGTGAGGATTTCGTAAAAGGATAATGAAATTTTTTTTTAAGAAAAACTTGCATTTCAGATTTTCCTCGCATTTTACGAGTAAATAATACTCGCGATAAGCTGTAATTGGAAGCGAATCATGACTAATGGATCATCACTGATGATCATCCCCACCGAACCAGCAGATTTAATAGGTCCAGCAAGTAGCGAAGGAGCTTAGTCGATTGGCAACCAGTTAGCGATCAGTACCGGTTTTGATTTGACCTGTGGTACTCGGTTTGAGTACAAACTAATACAAAAGGCCGTAAACTACAAGTGGAATTATTACATTTCCCAACGGAGTACGAGGCTTCTATCTATATATATATTGAAGGACGTTACTCGACGAGAATCATCGGAGCGAAACAGGAAAATTCCCGCTCGATCTGATCTGAAAGGGAAAGAAGAGAATTCCTATAAAACGAGAATATTTGGCAAAGCGTTACATGCTGATATCACAAATAAACATGATGTCCATTGGCTTATTCGTCTTTTTCCTCGCTTTAACAGCAATCGATGCACGTGAGTACTCCATTCGACATCAATCCGTTTTGAGCACTTTCATCTGAAAAAGAATTTTAGTTTTTTCTTTAATAAAATTCTAAAAGTAAATCTTTTCCTGATTTTTTTGCACGTTTATTTTAAATTGTCAGAGCACATTTAGCACAATTAATTAACATATATTTACAATTAAATGCAGCTGTTTGATTCTCATCGTTCGATACATTCAAGGCTTTCTCAGATGATATTTAAGTTGTTCCAAATTATTTACGATATGTAGTATGTTTAAAATGCTGAATTTAAACTTCGGATAAGACAATTCTAAGTTTTGAAAGTTGTTGTTAAAAAAACATTAATTGAACAATTAATTAAACAATAATTTATCGTTATAGAAAATGAATGTTCAAATGGTAATTGCGTCAACATTCGCAAATGTCCGGAAGTCATATCTCTCTTAACAACTTCAAGACCGCTTTCAGCAGAGACATTGCAGACTCTTAGAAATTTGCAATGTGGCTTCGAAGGCAACGACCCGAAGGTTTGTTGCAGTCAGGTAATTGAATTTGACCTAAACGCATTAATTTATTTACAATAATATTAATTTAGTACTAATTTATTAAAATCTAAATTAATAAAGTTAACTAACACATAATATAATGGGTAATCTCTAATTTAAGAAAGAGAATTGAATTTATAATATAATTTAAAGCTAACTTAAAAAATAAACAAAAAAGTAAAAATTATAAATTATGAATTATAAATATATATATCTTTCGAGAATATATATTATAATAACTTGCATTGATAATTTTGCTTCTCTATTTTGTTTCCTATTCTTTGTTAATTATTTAAAGACATTTATTTAAAAAGTTAAAAGATTATTTATCGGCAGATTGATTATTGGTTCTCGAGGACTTCAGATTAATGCGTTTCGGATGATTGTTCATCATTTTCCATATATTCATGAAATATATCAAATTGTACATCGCATACTGCCATCATTGTTGTACGTAATAGAGATGTATCGTCGTTGCAAGTCCATTTAATAGTCTTTTGAAATAATACTGAAACAGGTTTCTGTGACCTCGACTTCCTGTTTTATCCTAATCTCGTATTGTATTAGCAGGATATCGGCTGAAGCTTAATTCACAAAATCTAAAATTTACAAAATATTCTATTATATCAAATAACAATAAAATTAGATATTTTATTGTTATCAGATATTTTATTACAATCAAAATTGCTTTATAGCTTCCTTTATTTTAGATGTAATATTAAAAATGCATTTTTCCAAACAAAAACAAATAAAACTTTTTATGCTCAATTTTTAAATATCTTTAATATCCATTCATATACAAAAATTTCATATATTTACAGAACATAATAAATCTCTCTATAACTTGGTATTGTTCGTCATTATAACACTGTTGAATTTTCGATTTCATAAAAAAATGCATTAAGTGTTTTCAATTTTTTCAATTTTGCTTATATTAATCTTTGGTAATAGACATCCACAACAACGACAGAGGCACCAAATCCAGAAAATCCTTCAAATCCACCAGATGTGACGAATCACCCGAATCTACATCTGTTAGATCATACATTATGTGGACCCATCACTCAGACGAAGGTAGTCGGCGGCAACAAGACTGGAATTTTCCAGTATCCTTGGATGGCGTTAATCGCATACGATACTGGAAGACCAAATCCGGAATTTCGTTGTGGCGGCACAATCATTTCCTCACGCTACGTCCTCACTGCCGCTCATTGTGTTACTTTCCTTCCAGGGAGTAAGGAAAAAGCCATAAAGTCATATTGCCATAAGTATGGCAAAAATTAGAATTAAGCTTTAAACTTAAAAAGAAATTTAAGATTGAATTTAAAAATAAAGTTTGAAAGATACTTAAAAACATTCGTTGTTCTTGATAGCATTTTTTTTATAACTAGCATAACTTTATGTAATTGTTATTCTGCAGGTCTACGACTAATAGGCGTCAGAGTAGGGGATCACGATTTAAGCAAGGAACGTGACTGCGATACGAATAACAAAGGATTTGAGGTCGTGTGTGCCGAGAGGTATCAGGATTTCGGTGTGGAAAGCGTTCAGTTCCATCCGGAATACACGAGAACAAAACTGCAAAATGACATTGCGCTTATTAGGTTGAATAATACAGTGGATTTCAGACCTCGGAATGTCAAACCCGTTTGTCTGCCTTTTGGCACTGCGACAGCGCTAAATCATAACAAGGTGAGAATGATTAATATATTTCCATTTATTAGAAAATAATAAAAAAGAAGCAGCTAAAAAGATTTACAAGTTATATTTATTTTGCTTCAAATTAGTTAACTCTACTACTGATTTAATACTACAAATAGAAAAAGAAATTTTTAAATAACATTTTCCATTCTCTCTCTCTCTCTCTCTCTCTCTCTCTCTCTCTTATAAATTAAAATATTTCACAATTATATCTCTTTAAACGGATCCTACAGTCCATCAAATTTTTTCGAGAAATATTTTCTATCGCTTCTAAAAATTTCGACTCGGTTATATTTCTCGATTTTCGTAAAGACTACTTCATTTCTATTTCGAAATTTTGCTTTTGACTGACAGGCTGTAGTGACCGGTTGGGGCGCGACGGAGTTGGGACCACGCAGTCAGGACCTCCTGCAAGCGAAGTTACCACTAGTGGCCGTTGAACAGTGTAAAGAAATATATAAGCGGACCACACAGATCTGGCACAAGCAGCTATGTGCTGGCGGCCAAATGAACGTGGATTCTTGTTTGGGTGACAGTGGTGGACCTCTCCAGGCAGCTGGTATATACAATAGTAGATCAATACGCATCATCCAGTACGGTGTCGTCAGCTACGGATTGAAGCAGTGCGGCACTGAGGGATTCCCCGGAGTTTACACCAATGTCGCTTACTACATGGACTGGATTCTCAACACACTGACAGAATGAAACGAGACTGAAACATTGCGGAACGAAGTCTTTCATATTGAATACTTTTAATTTCCGTGCTCGGAATATTGTGACACAAACGATAATCCTCATCGTGGTAAGAATGAGAATTTAGCGAGAATTAAATTTGGCGCGTTTGATAAATATGTATAAATATAGATAAATAAAATTGATTTCAAAAGATTGGCAAAACGAATAAAATTATCACAAAGGCAAAGAAGGAATATCTTTAATGTTTGTGGAAATAGATGGTCTAGGAAAGATTTGCAAAATACCATTCTAGTGTATTTTTAATAAAAATAATTAGTGTTAACTTTCAAAACTTTTGTTGTTCTTTTAGTAGAATAAAGTATCTTACTGCCGATACAACTTTATTCCATTAGACGAAGTTTTCTCGGGATTGCAACTTAAATTTTCACTATTTTATTGCATGTGAGATAAGCGTGTAATATCTTCGAGAAGAAAAAAAAATAAAAAGAGAGAGGAAGAGAGTTTTTTGCTCGCTCTAATGAATATATGTGCTAAACCGATGCGTGATTATGATTTATATCTTAACTTATCATGTTTTTACTTTATAATATTGATCGATATAATAAACCATTTTTCTATAAAAAAGATGTTGTTTACTTCCTGAATTCTACGAAAAGTATTTTTGTCATTCATGATAAACTGGATTCTCCGAAAAATTATCGTAATCGTTTTAATTTCATTTCATCAAATTAATTCTTTGATTAACTTTGAACCGTTCTTGATATGTCGAGAAATCAGCTTATAGATTATTCTTATAAACAATTATAAATATAATTCAATTATAACAAAGCCGAATAAATAAAAAGCTTATTCTTCAGATAATTTCAAACTGAAAAGCTTGGTCAAGGTTTACCTATTTATCGTAATATATTCTAATCATAATTAATATATAAATATAGGAACCTGACATTCAGAATAATTTCGCGATAATGATAAGAATTATCGGTTCAATTCACTCTTCGACATCGTCGCTACTGGACAATTTTTCGTTGCGATCCTCAATCCATTCCGCTGTTTCGTTGATCGAAACCTTCAATGGACCGCGATCGGCTTTTCTCTTCAGTGTCGAGATTTCTAACTTGGCTGCCGATTTGTCGGAGGAATCGCCCGACGACTTCGACGATGATTGGCTTGACATCAGAGTACCGGAAGAACTGGTTAATGATCCGGAATTTGGTCTAGAATTGCTGGCAAAACTTAAATACGAGTCCAAGCTACTTGACGTAGATCTTTTCGATTGCTGCTGTTGTTTCTTTTTCTTCCTTTTCTTCTTTCGGGCGTGAGCGCTCTTCGAGGAAACCTTCTGTTGCGCCTTTACGAGCGATTGAAAACTCTGCAAAATTCATGCATAAAGCGTAGTTTACACAATACTTTATCAGAACGTATCCTAAAGAATTTACATTATTTCTTAATTTTGCTTTATATAAAATATGCTGATGCATAAAATATATAAAGTATTAAAATACGTTTTTTTTTTCATAAAGAAAACATTTATTGATAAATATTTGTTTCTACTTAGGAAGTCAAATTATCCATAATTATAATTATCTAATAACGACGCATGCAAATAACAAGAAATTCATGTTACCTGAGAATGACGCTCGAAAAGAGTCGGTATTTGCGTCACACGATCCAACATCATCTCCATCTGCAGTCGATGACGTTCGGCCTGTTCCCGCGCTTCATCACGACGAAGAGACGTCCGTATGCCTAGGTCTCTGTCATGCTCGTGCCTTGTTTTCGCGACATTAGATCAATAACTGATCATAAAAATCGATGAACGCTTAGATCTATAGATCCAGTGCGTACCTCGCAGCCGATCTCAGGGCCTTCCACGCAGGTTTCCGGCTGATTAGCGTCTCCCTGAACTTCAGTATCTGTTCCCGCCGCTTCTCCTCCATCCGCTCCTGTATCTCGCGCTCCAGTTTCTCTCTGTGATGAGTTTTCGATCGTCATTTACACGTGTGAATTCCTCTCTAATTAAAAATTATTCTTTGTTTGTATTTAGAAAAAATTAAATCCTATACCAGAATGACTTTTTTATGACTTGCAACTATCATTTCTTTTTTCAACTGAATTTCTAGTATTTTAAAATCAACTTCTGAGAAATATAAGTAAATAGAGGGATTCAGGGTTACACAGTTTTTCTCATTAAATGGGCCGTACCGTGAAGCTTGACATCTCAAAATCGCAGCCAGGTTATTCCCGCGCGAGGATAATGCGGACGTCAGGGCGGACCTGGTTCTGTCGGACATCGTCGTAGTCGGAATGATAGATTCGTCATCATCTTTGTTGGGCTCTTCGTCCTGAAAATGTGCACATGCGGACTTGACACGTTCACGCCTCGCCATCGATGGCGGTAATGAAGAAGACTTCAACATCTCTGCAGCCCTCAACCTCTTCCTTAGCTGTCTGGAACCGCGTAAATAAATCTCTATGCTGAATCTAATTGTTTTTAATTCTCAAGAGATTTTAAAAAGTTTTTAGCTCTTTAAATAATCTTGTTGTATAAGTACTTTCAGGAAGCTGAGTTCTAATAATTACTCACTTGTTTGAATTGCAAAGCAATTAGTCGCTTATATATAAACTTTCACTTATACACAGAATAAGCTTCAAAATTAAATTAAGACTTAATTTCTAAAATTTTTTGTCTGTTTGCAATTTTCAAAGACTGTCAATGTGTTTTAATCAAGAAAAATAGTGGAATTTTTCCGGACATTCGATATTCGACATTTGATATTCGTGTTTTTATTTATTGTTTTTATCGACACTAAGAAAGAAAAGAAAGAACAAGAATAAAGATATATAAATATAGATATTAAACGTGTAAAAATGTTAAATGTTTCATTTAAATGTTTCTAAGATAAAATATGAAAGAACTCGACAATTAACGACAAGCTGACCTATAATATTCGTCCTCAAGCATACGGTCATAAACCTCGGTGCCGAACAGGTTTCTTGGTACTGGCTTAGCCTTGAAACGCGAAGAACAGCTCTTGCTTGAATAGAGTTCAGGACTGGACCTCGCCATGGATCGCCAGGCACGACGATCGCACTCGAGCTTAAAAGGTCGCACTTGCGACAATAGATTTAGTGCGCTCTCTTCGCGTACAATACGACTTCTAAATACCAAAAACATACGTTATATCGAGGTTTATTATTAATTATAATTTCGCAGACCTCTAAATAGTTAAAAAAATAAAATAATATATAAAATATATAGTGAAATTTTCAGAATAGAAGAAATATGATACTAAATTTGATTGAAAATAAAAAAAAATAGATAGTATTATACATCCATTTGTAAAGTCAAACATGGCCGACCTTTCTTCTTTTTCAGCCATTAATTTGTCATAAAGCGGTATCTTGGATGTAATAGGAATTGGTCTGATTCGTCGTTTTTTCGAAGGACTTTTCTTCTCATTATCTTCATTCGCCCGTTCGACTGTCTCTATCTCTGTCATATATTTTTCCGCTTCTTCCCTGAAAAAGGACATCAAATGTTCTTCAA